ATCCTTTTAAAAATTATCAGGCAGACCAAGAAGCCGATATATGCCAATCAAAACTGAACAAAACTGACACAGATATGGATTTTAGGTCCAAGGACAATTAAAAGAGTTATTGTAACCATATTTCAAATATCCAAAAGTTAAGAAACCTAGAATGTTGAAAAAGCTGAAATTGAACTTCTAGAAGTGAAAACTATAATATGTGAGATGAAAAATAAAATGGATGGAATCAACAGAAGAAAAGATTAGTGAACTTGAACATATAGCAATAGAAACTTTCTAAAATAAAACATAGAAAAATAGTTTTAAGAAATGAAAAACTAAAAGAGAATTAATATACATATAATTGGAGTCCCCTTCCCCAATAAAAAAAGAAACAAAGGAATTTCAGAAAAAGTACATGAAGAAATATTTAAATTTGATCAAACTATAAACCTACAAATTCTAGAGCTCAGCTACCTCTAACATAACATGAAGAAACTGATCAATTAAGTTGTTCAAAACAAATGATATAAGGAAAATCTTAAAAACTGCCAGGAAAAAAAAAAATCAAGTTATACAGGAACAAAGATAAGGATGACTTAAAATTCTTTATCACAAAATATGTAAGAAAGAAGAAAGAGAACTCTCTTTAAATACTGAGAGAAAAATATTGGCAACCTAAAATTTTATATTTAGAGGAAATATTTTTGAAGAGCAAAGGCTAAATAAAAACTTTTTAGCCTCACAAATGCTGTGAATTTACTGCCAGTAGACCCACACAGTGAGAAATCTGAACAGAAATCCTTTAGGCAAAAGGGCAATGATACTAAATTGAAATCTAGGTCTGCACAAGTAATGCTGGAAATGGCAACTGCATAGGTCAACTTGGCAATATTTTTTTCTTGCTATTTAAATCTCTTTAGAAGGTAGTTGTCTACTTTCATAAAATCTGGAATATATTGTGGGATTTATAAATGTGTAAAAGTCATATAGTTGACTCTCCCCAGAGGTAGAGAGGGGAGAAGTAGAAGTATACTATTACTACATACTATTGTAAGGTTTTTATACCATATAGACTGTGATAAATTGATGTATGTCATAATAACCACTAAACTTAAACTTTTTAAAAAATTAACACATCTACAGAGGATGTAAAATGGACCTATTAAAATATATTCAATACAAAAGAAGACTGAAAAAAAAGGAGGATAAATAGGTGGAATGAATTTTTTAAAATTACAAAAGATACATCAGTAATCTACTCCATGAGGTTGGATTTTTAAAAAACAATACCCAACTATACATAGTCTACAACAAACTGAATTTATCTTTTTTTTTCTTTTTCAACAAACTGAACTTAAAAATAAAGACACCACTCTGGCTCAGTTGGTTGGAGTGTTGTCCTATTCAGTATATCAAGAAGGTTGTGGGTTTGATTTCTGATCAGGGCACATATCTGGGTTGTGGGTTCAGTCCCTGGTGGAGATGCATTCAGGAGGCATCCGGTCGATGTCTCTCTTTCTCCCTCTTTCCCTCCTTCTCTCTCTCCATTCTTTCCTCCTCCTCACTTCCATTCTCTCTCTTAAAAAAAAAAAAAATCAATGTATTTATTGATTATTTGTTTCCCTTCCATGGGCTGTTACTCATTTTCTTTGTTTTTACTTTCCTTCCAATCCTTTCTTCAAGTATTTGATGATCTTTAAGTTCTTGGGAGCAGTTCTATGCAATTAGGGATCTTCTCATTTAAAGAAAACCTGCTTGCGTTCTTTATTAAAAATTTTGTTAAATAAGCACTCCTAATATGTATCTTGCAATCTCAGATTATTGTACCTTAGGGTTTTTGAAATTTGGAAACACCTACCCCGTATTTTCCGGTGTATAAGACGACTTTTGAAATGAAAAAAAGTCAACCGAAAATCGGGGGCAAAAGACCAAAATTGCACAAAAATTACCTGCAGATCTTGACGGCAAAGTAAGTCTTTTCTTTGAAGTGGGGGATAGTCTTATACAGCGAATATAGGCCTAAACCTATGTTTTAACTGTAAAATTAGGGGGTCGTCTTATAAGCCAGAAAATACGGTACATGTTAACTCCCTGTCTCCATGAGCCCTTGATAATGGAGTGGATGATCTTACGCCAGTGTCAGTGTGTGTGTCCTCCACACATCTGGAAGTTAGGAAATTGGTTCCTAAACATGCGTATATTTTTCAGATACAGCCTTGAAGCCATTATAACAAAAGTTATGAATTAGCTACTACAGAGAGATTATTGTCTTTTGTTCCAGTTAATAAAGTTCGAGGAATCACAGAGGACACTATTTAAACCACTGCATTTATCATGAGGAGATCCAGTAAAAGCCCTCCTTGCCTTCCAAGTGCATGCACCTTCACTGACCCTGTTCTCCGTCTTTGAGGCCTGCCTGTGTCCTAAGCATAAAGGTGTTGAGAGAAAGCAGTCGCTGTAGTTACCATTGAAGGGAGGAACAGAGAGGGGGTCAGATCATCATTTTACCTCTGGAACCATTGGTTTTTATAGACTCACCTCCAAGTTGAGTGGTGGAAGTTTCTCCATCTGGCTGTGTTTATCACCAAGTTAAGATACCTGCTGTATTACTGCTCTTGTCACCTCTGGAGTCCCCTGGTCCTGTGACTGTAGGGAGAGGGCTCGGTGGGGCCGTACAGCCACAGCAGCTGAGTCAGTCCAGGGGCCATGGGATGACTTGCGCCCCTCCTGCATTTCTGGGAAAAACAGATGGTATCAAAGGACTTTGCCTGAATTGTTGCCTTCTGGAGTAGGGGTAGAGATGGGTACCAAAATCACAGAAGGTGAAAAGAAAACGGAAGGAGGTGTCTTTGGGGTCAGCAGCCATGAGGGCTGGACAGGGTGCTGAGTAGATCACCTGTGAGCCTGGTGTCCTGGTGTTTGGTCTCTTCATGCTGCAGAAGTCCTTTGGCCTCTTTCTTGTACCTGATCTTGTAGGTGAGAAGTTTAGATGTAAAAGCTTCCAGGTTCCCTTCATTACTGTGATAGGAAACTTGCAACTCTTTCAATGAGGAACACTCACCTTTATAATTCATACTCCTTCCTTCTCTCTGAAAAGAAATGAAACTTTAAAAAGGTACCAGGAAATTTAACTACCCAGTAATACCACTCAACTTTATGTGGAAAGAAAGAGAGCAAGAGAAAAGGAGAAAGTTGCCATGAAAAACAAAAGTATAAGTCCAGCGTGGCCAGTGTGTCTCGGTGGTTGAGGGTTGTCCACCTATGAACCAGAAGGTCACGGTTCAGAGAAAGTACTTACGTCTGTGTGTCCATGGCCAGTCATCTATTACTTTATTTTGTTGCTTTGTGGATATGTTGACATCTTTTTAAGATTTTTTTTTTTAGTCTTTAATGGTATAGTGATTGATTTTAACAATTTCCATATTTGACATTGATTTTGATCTCCTTTTTTACTTTGTTCCCTGCTTACTGCATTCTCCTCCCTACTCCTTCCTCTTCTTCATCCCACTTTTATTACTGGGTTGTTTTGTTTCTGTCTGTTGTGTGTCATTTGTTTTTGGTTTCTGTTGGCCTGGTGTTCTCTCCTTTCTCTTGTTCCCCACCTTCTGCTGCTGTAGCCCCACAGGCTGTGGAAGCTGGCCGAGCAGGTAGGGATTTCCTCTTCATCCACGCCAGTGCTACCACCCACACCGACCTGTCAGCTTCCCGCAGTGGGACAGACTGGGAGTTGAGTGCATAGTCTGACTGGGGTTTACAGACCACCTGGCAAGAAGACTGATGCTCAGGGCAACGTCATTCCTCAGATCTGTCCAAACGTTGTGTGATGAGTACCGTACTTTCATTCATTGTACACCATTAGTGATTGCCATTTGGAGGCATCTCCATTTTACTTCACATCCTGCTTTCAGTGACCTGTTTTCTGATGTGTTCACTTATTAGATGGCCCTCTATGGTTACGTGTTTTGCATTACTTACAGCATCAAACCACTTCCCCACTCAGCCCTGGTCTGGGACACTGCTCCTCTGAATGATCACAGGTTAGAAAAGATGCTGTTGGCTTGCACTGTAGTAAGCCTCCAGCTAGAGCTCTCTGTCCGGGTGAGATCGCCATGACCAGGGCTGTTCGGTAGGACAGTGTGTCTTTGTGAGGGTGTCTTTATTTTTATCTTTTCAAAAACATGCCTTTGGTCCAAGATTTACATTCTCTCCTGAAGAATGTTAGTTCTTCAAATAAATTCTGAGGGTGCCCTCATTTCTTGGCAAATTTGTTTTAGGTTCCATTTTTTTCTACCCAGGGTGTTGCGTAGATGTTTGGCTTATCATGTAGCTTTAGTGATGTTGCTCTTACATGGACAGAGCTCACTGGTTAGAGGTCAACTCAGCACATGTTTTGAAGGGAGTTGTGGTGCAAGGTAAGATTTCTGGACCCCTGCGTTAGATAAGTCCAATAGCTCAGAGCACCGAGTGCTGAGCAGCGGTAAACACATACCTCCTTGGCCTACGTCACAGAGGAAAGTAATCTCCCACAGCTGGAGGGAAACCCAAGACACAAGTAGGACTAAAAGGAAAATATAATTATCTTTTGTCTCTTCCTTAATCTGCCCATTCCTGTACATGTTCTCCTTCAGCATCTTGAGCTGTAGGATTTCTGGGTGCACCTGGTCAAGTATCGCAGCACATGAAGCTTCATATCCTGACGGCCTGCTTTGGCAGGCAGACATCTCAGCAGTTTCAGGCATCTTTTCTTCGGAAAGATGTGGTGTGCCTCTTTTCTTATCATGATAAATGTGATTGGCAGTCAAACTGTGTGAACGCCCAGTGTTATTCTATTAAGTTCCTTTTGGAACTGAGGTTACCAAGCTGAAAGTTAACAGGTATCTTAGAGAGTGGTGATTCCACTGCTTTTAGATTTTGTTCAGTTTCAGATGTCACCAAAATATGCTTACTAGCTCGTAGGACACAGACCCAGACTCCTCCCACACATACACATGTTAACCTCACTGTGTCCTTGCTTGCAGGGGACCTCAGGACCTGATCCAACCACCGTCTATGTTGACATGCGAGCGCTGAGGCACGACAGGTATGATGCCCTTGTGACGTTTTCTTGGTTTCTAGACCTGCCAGTCCCTGTCTAGAAAGGGAGGGGCAGCAGTGTTTATCTGCCCCCACTACAAGCGTTTATAAATAAAGCAGTGGAGGTGGGCAAGTCGGCTTGAAGTCAAACCCTCTTCACACTCGGCTTTGTTAACATACCCAATGACTTTTTGTCTTTTTTTTTTTCCCCCACAGAGAGGAAGAGAGAGGGATAGAGAGTTAGAAATATCGATGAGAGAGAAACATCGATCAGCTGCCTCTTGCACACCCCCTACTGGGGATGTGCCCGCAACCAAGGAACATGCCCTTGACCAAAATCGAACCCAGGACCTTTCAGTCCGCAGACCAACGCTCTACCACTGAGCCAAACTGGTCCCCGTGACTTTTTGTCTTAAAATGCACATGGAACCCTGACCGGTGGTTTTCAGTGGTTAGTGTGTCGGCCCAAGGACTGAGGGTCACGGGTTCGATTCCCAGTCTACCTATGAACCAGGAGGTCACGGTTCAATTCCCAGTCAGGGCACATGCCTGGGTTTTGGACTCAATCCCCAGTAGGGAGCATGCAGGAGGAAGTTAATCAGTGATTCTCTCTCATCATTGATGTTTCTATCTCTCTCTCCCTCTCCCTTCCTCTCTGAAATCAATTTAAAAAAAATATATGTGTGTGTATGTATGCACTTTAAAAATAACACAAGTCAAGTTACCATCCTGTGCAGCTTCCTAGGCAGCCTTGAGCAAGAATGAAGGTGGTGGATGATGTAAGGGACCCTCAAGGAACTTGATAGTGCCCAGGGAAATACCAGTTGCTGCCTGGGCCTGTAGCCCTGTTTTAGGTCCTACTGTGTGAAAGGAATCAGAGAGGTTGGAGGCCATCTATGGGAGCCCCCTTGGGGGCTGAGGGCCACTCAGAGGCACCAGCTGCACTGCAGCCAAATCCCATCTGAGACATTTTCAAATTTCAGAAACGTAGCTGGGACTAGATCAAGTATCTAATGCATATAAATTTTCAAATGTAACATCTAGGCTTTAAAACAAACCTACTTTACTCCTTATAAAAACCATTTGAAAATAACTTGATAACTTCACACGGTGAGCACTAGCTCCTGAAAGCCCCTGTGTGGGTGACCTTCTGGCAATTGTGTGTGGCTGACCCTCAGTACACAGGCACAAACATGGTAAGACCATGGAGATGAGACTGCTCACCTTCAGGACTTGGAGAGCAGACTGCAGGTTCAAATCCATTTATCTACGAGAATGGTTATCATGAAGGGCAGGTGTTTCATTCTGAATTATGACTGACAGTCCTGGAATATCAGGATGGTTGAGAGCAGGGACTTCGGGAATTTCTCTTTACTGGAAAAGTACAGAGCTGCAAAGGACTCCTTTCTAACGATTTTTGGAGCTAGTTTTTTGGCTGTCTTCAGTGTGGCAAGACTTCCTGTTGAGAAAAGTGAAATAAAATGGGAAATCAGTACAGTGTATAGCGGTGATGTAATAAAATGTCAATATCGGTCCAGTATCTGCTCTAGAAAGAGCCAGGGGACATGCGTCCTAGGGCAAGCGTCTTGGTGACTCACTAATTCTTAGGGCCTGGCAAGTCCATAATCCTCTCAAGTGACAGTTCTTTTCTAATCTGTAAATAATTTCCAAGGCATGTCTTCCTAACGAGGTCACCCTAAATAGGAGTGATAGTCCTTGTGGAAGGGGAGTTGCTGTGCAGCTGTGTGTTATAAAAGATAAACGTTAGAAACAGCAGCGGTCATTGCCGTTAGTGGTAGTGCTGATTCAACAAGCAGCTCAGCTCCAGCCAGGTCAGACGGCCCCCTCCACAGTCCAGGCCACTCCCCAGACAGCCTCCTGGCCTGCTCCTGTGTCCTCAGAGGCTCAGGCATCTTCCACCAGCACCCCTCCCCCAGCCTTCTGTCTCTTAGCAGAGAGCAAGTGGCAGGGAGCTGAGGAGCTGTCAGACACCAAAAATGTTTGCAGTGGGCTTCTGATCTTCATCTTCTTCAGTGCTTGGCTCAGAGAAACCAAAGCAGCCCAATCCCTGGAGCAGATGTGATGACAAGCACATTCCCCGGGGCTCCCAGAGGCAGGGTTCCCTCCACTGACTGCCTTCCTCCCGGGCCTGCCCGGGGCCCAGCGCCGCCTATCGGTGCCGCCTCTCGCCCTCGCCCTCTTCCTTTCACTCTTTTCCCCACGGCCTGCGATTGGAGGTTCGGATTTGGGCCTACTAACCAGGTGTTTCTGTCTCAGGCGCTGGCCCTGGTGTTGCTCTGGGCAGCAGGGCTGTGCTCAGCGTCCTGCCCTGTCCTGCTGGGCCCTTCTTCTGAAGGCAGCGGGAAACCTCAGAATGGCGCTTTCCCTCACCGTTAGACACCACAGCCCAGGCTTCCCGTGTCGGGAGCCTTGCCCACACCTCTCCTGTTTCTGCACCTGCCTCCACTCTGTTGAAATTCTTGTTCTTTCAAGTACAGCTCACATACTCCTATGATGTTCCCCGTGAAAGTACCATCCTGCTTCACATCTCCAGCATCACTTTTGACCAAGTGAACATGCATCAGGCACGCCTTATGCTGCAGGCTCCGGGACTGATCACTCAGAGTTGAGCTCTCCCCTCCCCTGCAGTCCTTGGCCAAGCTCTGTAACTTCCGTGTCCTCGTGCTCAGAGTGGCCCAGTAAGACCAGGCACCCAGGAGGTGCCAGCAGGGATGGGAGCTGTCCCGGGAGCCCCAGTAGGCGGGAGGCTGTGCTCCCCACGATATGTCTTCCCCCTGGATAACTTGCCTCTCTAACCAAACCAGGTTTCCAGGGAAACAAAAGGGAGCTGGCCCTCTCTCAGGCCCCAGTGGGGTGAGGTAAACCAGGAGAGCCTTTTAAGATAGGGATCCAACTCTCTCACGTCACTATTCCCATTAAAAAACGGGGCTTTTGTCTTTGTAAGTTGAGCTGTCCAGGCATGCCTCCTTTTATTGCACTTCACAGATGTGTGTTTTTACGCGTCGAAGGCAAGACCCGCCGCCAACAAAAACATTGGGATTTTCTTCACTGCGACACTTACCTTATGTGGGGATTTGGACCCCCGGGCCCCACGTCTCCAGTGTCTGCCTGTACTAACTTTCAGTCGCAGGGTTAATTCCTTTCCTGTTGCTTTAGTCCATTCACCTGGGAGCCCAGGGCACGTGCCCAATTACCACTTCATGTAGACACGGTTAGCTTGTCAGTACATGTGCCGTTTCCCTGAGAGGAAAAGATTGTGAGAGACAGACAGTAGGAGGGGACAGGGGACCACTCTTGTCAATGCTTGTGTCAAATTGGTTTTTCAAATTGGTTTGATTTCTACCTGATCTTCTGCTTTGTTTTTAATACTTTTTTTGTTTGTTTGTTTGAATCAGTGGGGTTTGGTTTTCCCAGTTATCTGCAGGTTGCCACGAAGGACATTTCTGCCTCACATATGAGGAAACTTGCTCTGCTTCTGGGCTAAATTTAGTTCCTTTGGGCACCAGGGGAAAACGATGAAACTGTTTTGAGACTATTTAGAGGTGACCATTTTTTAAAGTATTCTCTTTTTAAAATACATTTTTATTAATTTCAGAGAAAAAGGAAGAGGGGGAGAAAGAGAGAGAAACATCATTGATTGGCTGTCTTATGCATGCCCCTTACTGGGGATTGAGCCTGCAACTGGGCATGTGCCCTGACCAGGAACTGAACCACTGACCTCTTGGTTCATGGGTCAACGCTCAACCACTGAGCCACACCAGCCAGTGATATCTTTATAAGGCGGGGACTGCATTCCTCAAAAATGTCAATATCATAAAGGCCAAAGCCTTTGGGAATGCTCCTCTTTAGTGGAAGATAAGTAGACATGACAACCAAATGCAAAACCTGATGCTCAGCTGGGAAATGTACTCGAAGGGAAATGCTGTGAAGGCCACTGTTAGGACTGATGGGCACAGTTGGAATGTAGTCTGCAGGTTAAAGCTTTGGATTAATGCTGAGTCAGTGAAGTTGATAACTTCTGTGTTTATGTAAGAAAATGTCCCTCCTCTTAGGAAAGGAACACTGAAATACTTAAGAGTAGCACATGCCCCACTCCTAGTACACCCACCCCTTTCTCCTCCCCCATAAGCCTGCATCCCCTAAACTCTAAGGGTCCCCATGGGACTTACAAGCAGGGGAGCAGGGGGCAGGTGCCAACCCCGATCCTGTCTCTAAGGTCCCTTTGCTCTGACATCTCTCCAAGTAAAACTTCAAAAGAAAAGGAGCATTTCGGAGTGAAGAGCCACCATGTATTCCGCTTACCTTCACATGCTCCGCCAGTGTGTGTGTGTAAGAGAGCAAAAGCCAACAGAAGGCAAATGGAGTAAAATATTAACAATAGGTGAATGTGGGTAAGGACTATTACAGCTGTTCTTTGGATTGTAAGTGTTCTGTAATTTTAAAATCATTTTAAAGTAGAATATTTCTTTTAAAAACAATGCACATAAACATATCACATCTGGAAATTATTTTCAGATCTTCTATTCTCAGAAAGGGAAGGAGGTCCCCTCAGTTAGACCTTGGGGGGGGGGGGGGAAACAGAGTTAGAACTGCTGTGGCAGACACAGGTTGGTGTAGACAGAAGAGCTGTGTCTGGTGGGGACCTAAGGGGTCAGGAAGGGACTAGAAGCAAAGCCAGATGTTGAGGAACTCTCCATGTTACCCTGCCCGCTGTGCACGCTCCGTGCCAGAGTTCTCCGGAGAGGAACTGAGGCCACAGCCCTGCACTCTTCCACCTCTGTTAGAAGGGCAGCCCACACAGAACTAGTGTCTCCTTGCGACAGGTCCACGTTGCTGGGACGTGCGCTTGACCGTCCAGCAGGAGACTTGACCCACCATGAGGCCCTCACAGGTGAGCACAGCGAAGACAATGTGGGCAGGAGGGCGGAGTGACAAACAGAGGGCCTCCACGCAGAGCAAGGTCAGCATGAGCACTCATAGGTCACACTGAGTATGTACCCTGGTTAAGATGTGGTCTTCCTTCCAAAACCGAAAATGCAAATCTAACCATAGGAAAAGCATCACATAATCTCACCTGGGGGACATCCCACAAAACACCTCACCAGGTCCCAAACTGACAGGTCGTGAGAAGTAGGGAAAGTCAGAAACTGGCACAGCCCAGAGGAGCTAAGGAGACACGATGACCAAATGTCATGTGTGACCCGGAAGAAGGTCTTTAGGCAAGAGCTGGGGAAGCGTGAGTTAGCAATATAGCATCAGTTTTGACTCACTGATTACGACAAACACAGTGTCCTAATGTAAGGTGTGTGTGTGTCATGAGATAGTGGCTATAGCTGGAGACATGGGAAGTATGTCCATCCAGGTTTTTATGAGTTTACAACTTCTCTAAAGATAGAGTTCATTAAGAAAAAGCCAAGGAGGCCTGAAAAAGGTTATTTCTGTAAGAGATGCTTCTTTTCTCTGTGCTGTTTCTTTTCCTGTGGGCAAAGGGCAGTCCACCATGTGCTGCCAGGGTCTGTGGCTCTTCCATTCAGGACCAGCCCTGAGTGATTCCAGCACCCATCCCAACACCGCTTTCTCACTGACCAGAGAAGTTCCTAATCTGGTCCTCTTGCCCACATTTCAGCTTAGACCCCTCCTCTCTTCCTTTCTTGGATGCTGAAGGTCTCACAGGAAAGGACAGGAGCCGAGATAAACTCCGAAGGCAGGAAGAAGCCAGAGGAGGCCTGTTGGTCAGAGAGGCAGGCGTGCAGTGGGGCGTGGCCAGGAGCCCACTCGCTGAAAGAGAACCAGCCTTTGCCTTATTCCCCAGGATTGGCCAGGCCAGGCCCGGGCCAGGCAGAGCCTGCGGGAGGGAGAGAAGGAACAGCCGTGGGCATCCAGGGCACCAATCCCAGGGTCCATGGACGTTTGTCTCCAGCAGCCTCATTGCATCCGGGGCCCTCTCTGAAGGCACCCCAGTCATAATGCCGCTGCCGGAGCTGATGGCATGCCCCCGTGCCTGGCAGGGTTTCTGACGCCCTCCAGTACTGGCCGCAGGTGGACAGAAGCAGAGGAGAAGCTTGTCCAGAACAGCCCTCATTTCGAGCTAAGAGTTTGCTCCCCGGCCTGATCACCTGGGCTTTGTAGGACATCCAGCCCAACCTCTAGCCAGCTGCCCCCCGACACACACACACATGGCAGCAGCCTACACAGAGGCCAGGCCGTTCTCTCTGGCCCTCTCCCATCCCTTCTGTCCCGCTTTCCTCACCCATGCCCCCACCCACACATGGTTCTCCCAGCCAGGACAGGCCTCCTGTCCCGTCGCCTTCTCCATCTGCAGCAAATCGCCTACACCCAGAATTCACAGCTGGCCGGCCAGCCACTAGGCAGGCCCGTTCACAGGCTTCAGTGGTCACCGACAGCGGTGCTGCTTCCTGCAGGCCTCACGTGTAGCTCAAAGTGCTGCTTCTGCGTGCCTGCTGCCGGCTGAAGTTCCACAGTTCTCAGTGTGCTCTGGTGGTAACCCCAACCCCCCCCCCCTTCCCTGTTTCCCACACTTATTACTCAGGAGAAGGAGCTATGTTCATGCAAAGAATAGGGTGTGCTGCTGAATTTCACATCTCGCCTTTCCACATCCCTGTGCACCACCTCCTGCTAACAGCATTTCTCTGTAGTTTCCAAGGACTCAAGCACCTTCTCCTTCACTTCATCTTCTCTAAGGATTGTCTTCTAGTGAGTGGACAGCATCTCAGCCTGGCCATCCTGTGAAGGAATGTGAAGCCAGTCACAGACGGCTTTGGCTGTGACAGCACCTGTGTCCTCCGCAGAGCTTACAGCTAAATTACCACCAAACAGCCTTTACGTTGAAAAGAGTGTCTTCCCTGAAGGGAGGTTTGGCCGCTGACCTGGCCGGTCCTCTCTGGCTCAGATGCCCCTGTGTGCGCTGTGCTCTGTGCCGCTGCCCCGGGGCCCGTGGGGCCTGGCGCGGGCAGATCGGCTCTCGGGGATGCAGGGAGTCCTCGTTCTTTCCGTTTTCTGCAAGTGCTGGTTTACTCTTGGTTTCATGCAGGAGCATCTTCCCAGTCATTTTACAGGTTTGGGAAATGGGCGTTACCTGCCTTCTCTGTGGCCTGGATGGGAGGCTTGCACCCTATCCCACGGCGCACAGTGGCGCTCTGCCCTCGGGCCACTTTTCAGTGACTTCTAACCTCCCTTTGCACTGGACGGTGCGCACACAGTGACCCCCTGCCAGCCAGGCACCGGCTGCCTGAGGCCCAGGGGAGCCAGGGTCCGGGCAAGACTCAGTAACCCCTCCGTTTCTCTTTGTAGAGTCCGCTTAGTAGAACGAGGATCCCCACACAGCTTGCCGCTTATGGAGTCGGGGAAAGTAAGTATTCACTGGAGAAATGTGCATTTCTGTGTAAGTATAAGCCTCTGTGGATAGGCTTTGAAATTATAATGTTATTTTATAGAATATTGTTTCCAAAATGTTTTCTTTAATGTAGTATATCAGGGCTAGGTTTGGCCATGAGTACAGAAACTCAAAATAACAGTGTTTTCAAGGAGCTAGAGTTTTTCTCCTCTCACATAAAAGAAACCCTGAAGCCACCAGGGTCTGGCACTGTCGTTCGGCTCTGCAGGGGCTGCAGTGGCTGCTGCACCACCAGCCACGGTCTCCACATTTCATGAGAAGGAGACACAGGACAAGGAGAAACCAATGTGCAGGCCTGAGGGAAGCTCCTGGGCCGCCTCGCTCTCAGATGCCAGTGGCGGGCACGGGTCACACAGGCACACCGGCTGAAGGGAGGCCGGGAGCACTGTCCTGGCCCTGAATGTCTCTGGCCTGGCTGACAATTGGGGGGCTGGTTACTATGGACACAGACAAAGAATAGTTATCAGGAGACATCTAGTAGTTCCTGCCACCGTGGTTATATTTCTTACAGAAATAAAGAACAAGGAACATACATAAACTGAAATGGAGATCTTTTTTTCTTTTTGGCTGCAATTGTCAGATCTCTTCACCTAATTCTAAAGGCATCTTATTTTGCTTCTGTGCTTTATTTTAAGTCATTTCTAACCACAGGAAGCAGCCCAGTGGGCCATTACAGACCTGAGCCGCATGTCACCGTGGAGACTGCAGGTGCAGGACAGCTGTTCCGAGAGCTTCTTACCACAGAGCTGCCTGGGTTCAGTCACATGACGTTAAGCAGCTGAACCGAGGCATGCTGTGTTCTAAATCTGCAGAATCAGAAACTGTGGTTTCAGTGAAATTCAAAGCATTTCTAAGCTAAACTTCTATTAAGAAGGAGATGCTTAATATTGACGGTTTGGTAAAAGATGCTGCCTGCAGGAGGAAACGGGAGGCATATGGAGCGAGATGGGAGCCACACAGTGTTCTCGTCACTCTGCCCCAGCCTGCTCAGGCAGCGACACGCCCCCTCACGCCTGGCCGCTGCAGGGTGGCTTTCCACTCAGTCCTCTGGCAGTGGCTGCCGAACTTCTGAAAACTTTATCCCTGACTTCCTTAATTCTGTGTCTGCTGCAAGCGTTGCCCTCATGCTCACGTGCCACAATGTGAAGTATAATATTAAGTATTAAGTATATTTGAAAAAAATAATAGAAATAAATAAAACTTCCTATTTTCTGTCCACGGAAAAAGCATCCAAACTTGTAGAGAGTTTTTGTAAGCTATTATTTGAGCCAAAACTGATGACAGTTTCTGGAAAGCAAAATCTCAAATGCTCTAGAGCAGTGGTCGGCAAACTCATTAGTCAACAGAGCCAAATATCGACAGTACAAAGATTGATATTTATTTTGAGAGCCAAATTTTTTAAACCTCTTCTAACGCCACTTCTTCAAAATAGACTCGCCCAGGCCGTGGTATTTTGTGGAATAGCCACACTCAAGGGGCAAAATTGCTGCGTGTGGCTGGAGAGCCACAGTTTGCTGACCATGGCTCCAAAGAATGGCAGCTCGCAGCTGCTTTTAGCCGTTTGGGACTCAGGAGGGAACAAAGAAGCATCACGGGTGAGAGAAAGCAAGATGGGGCTGGGCTGCAGGGTGATTGTAGCTGATGTGCTCTGTGAGGCACTTACACTTACCTCACAGGTGTGCTCACCCAGATGCCCAAGAGCAGTGAGCAGGGCTTGCTCAGGCAAAGACAGACCTTTCACTGAAGAGCAGACGGTGACCACTGCCCCGTGGAGCTTATGATCAGATCACCTGTGAGGTTCCATCTCTAGAAGCACGCTTTCATCTACACTTTCAAGCATCAGGTTGTGTTAAATTATATTCTTTACCATGTTTCTGTTTTTACGATCACTTTTACACAGGATCTGACATTGTAGAAACAATTACAATGAAATGCAACTACCATGTTTCCCCGAAAATAAGACATCCTCCGAAAATAAGACCTAACGCATGGAAAGACAAGACATCCCCTGAAAATAAGACCTAGCACAACTTTGGGAGAAAAAAATTGATATAAGACACTGTCTTATTTTCGGGGAAACAGGGTATTATGCTGTAATTATTATTGCCGTGGTATATAATTTTTATTTAAAGCCATAGCACTTTCCAGATTCTTTTAGAAAGGAAAGCAGGCAGATGGATGGAGGCAAGATCAGGTTGGTTGCAGTGTAGGATCTGCCTGTTTACTGACAGGGATGTTCTTCTTCCCACATAGATACTTCCGGGCGTTCGGATCATAATCGCCAACCCAGAAACGAAAGGCCCGCTGGGAGACTCACACCTGGGTGAGGTGAGTGCGTGGCTTCCTCTAAGAGACATATAGCCTGAGACCAGACGTGTCCTTCTGCTGCCCACGGCCTGTCCCCCAGAAAGCCGCTCTCCCACCCCGCCCACAGTGCCCATCCGGTCGCCCTGGGGAAAGCACCCTGACCGGCCGGGAAATAAGGTGAGCGGAGCTTGATTGCTTGAAGGAGGCCGTGACAGTTCAGGGTTACAAAGTGGGACTTCCCTAAGGAAGTGGGCTAGTTTCTCTTAAAAAAAAAAATGTAGAAAACTCTGTGGGCCGTGTTTCCTCATTTCTCAGCTCCTGCACTGGTTTCCCACGGCCCCCTTTGTCGGGGAATGGCCAGGGAAGCATACCGGGGGCACCCTCTTCAACCTCGGGGCGTGGCAGCACCCACAGGTGCCTGCGAGCGGGAGGACAGCGACTTCTCCCCCGCTGGGTGTCCGTGTGACTCTGGTCTTCGATTGCATAGCCAGCTTCCTCCAGCGAGGACGTTGGGGCGTCAGGAAAGGGCCTCCCTGCGTCGCACAGATGCCCTCCTGGGGTTCCTGCTGTTTGGCGAGCCTGCTCCCCACTTGGTCAGCTCCCTCCTGCCCAGCGGACGGCCCGCTGCAGTGCCACCTGCATGCCCGGCGCTCCCCAGCTGCCACTGTAGCTGATGGCTTCCTAGGAGCTCCGCCGTCAGCACTGTCCCTGGCGGGCACAGCGGCACTTACCCGTTGCAGATGAGCAAAAAGATCCCTCCCCCAGCTCCTCTTCCTGGGCTGCTTTGCGGCCCTCACTCGAGCCCCCGAATCATGCAAAGATTAGAACTGAGAAGACAGTTCCACACCTTTTACTCCACTCGCCGGAAGAAGATTGGGTTGAGGAGGCTGTTGCCTGTCCTGTGCCCGGGGAGCCCACGGCAGTCTGGCTGGCTCAGTGCCACGTGTCTGGGAAGGAGCCTTGTCAGCAGCGGAGCAGTTTCCATTCCCGCCTCAGAGGCCAGCTCCTGCTCCGTTCGGCAGCAGCCGCTCCCAGGCCTGCTGTGCGGGCCTGTCCTGGATCGGGGTCCCATGTGCTCAGGGCAGTGCTTCTGGCTCCCAGGAACGTGGCTGTTTTTCAGTGTAAATGAGATAACAGAGCAGCGAGGCCCAGAACGCACCTGGCTGCCCCGGTTCGGGCCGTGTCCACGCCTCACGGCACACCGCCGTGGGAGCTCAGGAACCTCAGTGACGGAGGGTTTGCTCCAGTGGTGTCCACGGCTCCGCGTCCCCCCACGGTCTCCACTGAGCCAACGCCTCCTTTTCCGTTTTCCCAAATGGCATGCACTCCGGTGGTTTTCTTTCCTGTTTCCACAAGTTAGAGTTTTCCTTAGAGTTTGTCTTGTTCTGGGTGGTTTCCTGCAATATATTCCCAGCAGTATGCAAAACGGATGAAAGGGGGAAAATAAATCATAAAGCTTTTTAATATTTCTCCAGGTTGCTTTTTGTAAACCATCATTAAATTTGAATATGCGTGAGGAAACTGGTACAACTTTGCTCCCTGGTTGTATTTATTTAAAAATCCCTTCGTCAACCTGCTTTGGTGGAAGTCTCGATGGGCGGAGGGTGTGGTTCACGTAGCCGCAAGCTTGCCGCGCGGCCTCTGTGTCAATGAACTGCGAGCCTGTGTCTCCCCCCAGAACCAAGTGAGGTCCCCGTCGCCTTGTCCTTGCCGTCCAAGGATCCCTCCTCAGGTGACTTACCCAGGCCCGCTCTCCCCTCACAGATCTGGGTCCACAGCGCCCACAACGCCAGCGGCTACTTCACTATCTATGGAGACGAGTCCCTCCAGTCCGATCACTTCAGCTCGAGATTAAGTTTTGGAGACACCCAGACCATCTGGGCCCGGACAGGCTACTTGGGGTTCCTGCGGAGAACTGAGCTCACAGACGCAAATGGAGGTGAGAGTCCAGACGGGTGGGTGCGGGGCCAGGCCCCCCAAACACTGAGGAATTTCCAAACCTGGAGCATGGGTTTCTCGGGGTCACCGAGACTTCCTGACCCCCTGCCTCACCCACCGGGAGCTGTGCTCACGCAGCCAAACTGGCATGCTTTTGGGGGAAAGCACTGAGACATTTTGGCATTGCGTTTGAATGTGAGAAACCAGAGGCTGTTCCCCTGAGGATACTCTGTGGGAAGAGCTCAGCTCAGAGCTTTGAGCTGTGAGGTGGGGGGTGAGCCGACCTCCCTGGAGGCGCAGGCCCAGCCCGGCCCCCACAGTCATGTCAGAGGCCACAGGAGTGTCTCATCCATCGGACCTAAATCGGAAAGATCTCTACATGGACCACGTCTTCCGATTCGCCCTGAAGGTGAAGGGGCGTCTCCTATCTGTGAGGCCGGAGGGGCACCTGCGTGTTGTCCTTAGGGGGGTGCAGGGCTGACGAGGACGCTGCCGTCACAGGCTGAGGCACTCTGCCCTGCACACGGTCCGAAACTCGGGTGCGGAACAGCGGCGGCACTGAGAGCCCTGAGACGGCACCAGAGGGAGCGGGGGCACCCGCTGGGCCGGGTCCGTGAGGAGGGCGGCACCGCGCCGCCCACGGACCCGCTGCAGCGAGGAAGCCACATTCCACGCGTGGCACCGGGGTGGGAGCTGCCCGGGAAGCGCCCCCCGAGGGCCAGGCAGAGGCAGAAGCGGTGCACCTGCCCCTGCGCCTTCCCGAGGGCGCGGGCTGAGGCCTCCCCGGAGGCGGCTGCCCCGGCGCGGCCGCCTTTCCCGCAGCTCTTGCTCATTCGGGAGTCGTTTCAGTCTTTCTAAGTGGCTTGAGCGGCTTTCCAGGGACGCTCACACATACTTGGTTCCCTGCACAGAGCGCCACGATGCCCTGTACGTGGTGGGAGCCCTGGACGAGGCCATGGAGCTGCGCGGCATGAGGTACCACCCCATCGACATCGAGACCTCTGTCATCCGAGCCCACAAGAGCGTCACGGAGTGGTGAGTGCCCAGCGTCTGCGCACCAGAGCGGACGGAGTGTCCGCTTTGGGAACACGGGTCCTGTCTGAGCTTTGGGTCCTAACCTCTACCGTTCGGGCTGATACCATAGCAGGTCACGCTGGCATCACAGGTTCCCTGGGAATGACCTGCGGGCGGGTTCACATGGGGCTCCGTGCTGGCAGCCTCAGGCCCCGGGGACGGCTCGGCAGCCGCCCGTCGTGTCCCCCTCTCCCCCTTTCCTGCTGCTCCTCCTGTTCACCCCGGGCCTGAGGAGGAGGACGTGACGCCCACGTCACACTGTGTGTCCGGCCACCAAGTCTCTCCCTTCCCCAGCGGCTGGGCCCCTAGCCAGTGACAGCCCAGCCCCTGGTAGACCTCACCTCCGCTGTGTCACCAGTTTAAATGCCACAGTGACACAACACCAAGGGACACGTAACAGTGCCATCCGGGGCGTCACCCCCGCCCGGGGGGCTCCCGGGCGTGCAGAGCAGCGTTTTGTCACAGATCAGATGGGCCCGCACCACAAACCTTCTGGGGTCACCACCGTCCGTGCAGACCCAGGAGGGCGCAGTGCTGTCCCTTTCATTGTGACCGTACGCTGGTCGTTCTAAACAAAACACGCATTTTTCCTAACAGACGTGCTTTCACTGTTAATGAAACAGCAAATTTTCCCAGATCCTTCCTGCCTCCTGGCTGAGTTAGAGCCTTCAGTGTGTCTGGCATGAAAAAGTAGTTACCAGCTGCCCCTGCAGGGCCCTGGCCTAGTGCTGCCCCCGTGCACCCCACCCTGGTGCCCTCCTGGACCTGGTGCTGCCCCCCATGTTCTCCCTCCCTGGTACCCTTCTGCCCTCTGTGACCAAGCAGACCATGGGCACAGGGGCCATGACTTTTATTTAAGGTTTGTAAAAGCCCAACCATGTAAGGTTAATGTGCCTTAAAGTGTAAATCACAGACTTGACTCCCACAAACTGGGAGACTGACTGCTCCAGGTGGCCCCTTTGGAAGATCCCAGATAAAGCACTTCTGAGTGAATCTTGACATTGTTGAGGACCTACCCCCCAATCGGGTCGGCTCTCGCTGCGTGCAGCCACATACACGCTGCTAAGTCAGTGTGCCCCCACGTCTGCAGTTGTGACCTCTGAAGTATTCGGCCTGAGCTGGGGCCGGCAGGTCGGCTGGTGCAGATGCTCCTCTCTGCCAGGCAGAGGCAGGGCAGCACCAGTCAGCCTGGGCTACATCTCACTGTCCAGATTAATGTGGCCCAAGGTCAAGGGCAGGACACAGACCCTGCCCTTAGGGCCACAGTGCGCCCACGGAGGGAGGAGCCACGGCTGCTCCCGCTCCCCTCCGCACAGTGGGGGGCGGGAGGAGCTGCCGGGCACAGGGATGACGGGGATGGCCGCCGGAGAGGCCAGTGACAGGAGCGCGGGCCGCTCACGAGCTCAGAGCGGCCCGCGCCGGCCGGGCCTGCGGGCTCAGGCAGTTCGGAGAGCCGGTGCGGAGGACCTGAGAGGAGACGCCCCGTGCAGCAATGGCCCCTCTCTTCCAGCGCCGTGTTCACCTGGACAAACTTGCTGGTGGTGGTGGTGGAGCTGGACGGGTCGGAGCAGGAGGCCCTGGACCTGGTGCCCCTGGTGACGAACGTGGTGCTGGAGGAGCACTACCTGGTGGTGGGCGTGGTGGTGGTCGTGGACATCGGCGTCATCCCCATCAACTCTCGGGGGGAGAAGCAGCGCATGCACCTGCGCGACGGGTTCCTGGCCGACCAGCTGGACCCCATCTACGTGGCCTACAACATGTAGCCGCCTCCGGCCCCACGCTTCGGAGAGGGACGTTGGTCCTCGCGTCCCGAGCGGCAGGGCGGCGGCCTTCGCGGAGGCCGGGCCGGCGGCGGTGGCGGAGACGCCGGCGCCCGGGCGGCCGGGCGGATGGACACGTGAGTTACCACCGAGGTTTGCTCAGAAGGACCTCGCATTATGCCTTCAGTTTGTTGGAAAAGCCCATTTCAAAATATTTTTTCTTCTTTTTCTTTCGTTATTGGATAAGTGCTTTTTTCGTAAATGTGGTATTTCGTTAAGCCAAAATAGCAATTAAAAAAATACTCTGCCCTCCAGATGGGTTCTTCTAAACAACCTATGTAGTGTGACAAAGCATTGTTTTCTCTGTTTTAATGTGTCATGAAATCTTAATGACATGGACCTGTTACTAATTTAAGCCATTGCTAGCTCTCATCCTTTAGGACGGTCTGTTGAGGTACGAGAAGACCTTCCCGATAGCACCTTCCGATCAAAGTGTAGCGGCTTTCTCTGTCAGAGCGTGCTGAGACGCGGAGGCTGACCCGCAGCCTTTGGCGTTGGCATAGAAGGAGAAGGGATTATAAATAAGGTGTATTTCAGCAATTATCTTGCAGATATCTTTGTACTAAACTAAAAAGATAAAATAAGTTAACTTCTTCAGATGTAATTATGTACAAACGTTTAATTTATTTTGATCTCTTTAGAAGTATAAAAGAGAAAAAACATTCAAGAATATTAAAGTCTTGTAATGTTTGCTAATATAAAAAAAGTGTTGTATTATCTTGCGTGGATAGTATCACAACAAATATATATATATATATATATATGAGATATAAATTCACTAATGAGCAGAGGAGATTTTAACGTTTGAGACGCAGAACCTGCCGTTGCATGGTGTCGGCTCCCCGGTGCGGAGAGAAGAGAGCTGCTCTCACTCACGCGCGGCCCGCGGAATGGCCAGGAGCCCCGCCCCCGCCGGCTCCTTCCGGAACCAGAGGCCGCAGGCGACGCCGGGAGAGACCTCGGAGGTGGAAGGACTGGGCGGCCAGCCGGGCCCGCTTCCCTTCGCTGCTGCGAGAGCAACACGGGTCAGGCACGGGCGGCAGACGGCCGACAGCACTGCTCCCCGGAGCTGCAGGAGTTCATTGCACAATGTTTTTCATCCTTTTTGTTAGCGTCACCCTTTTCCGGTCCTTGGTACGAACAGGAACGATGCTCTGCGGTCGCTGGCACCGGCTTCGTTGATTGCCCGCAGACCATGTGGGGAGCGGACAGGGTGCTGAGGACAGCACGAGGGACAGATCACACAGAGCGTCACCTCAGCCAGCTCTCCCGGGCGCCCCGGCCCGTGTGAGCAGAGCCCACGGGGACCCCGCACAGGCTGCCCGCCGCTCCCCCCACAGCCCTGGCTGGAGCAGAAGCCGCACAGCTGCCTTCATGCTGCCACCTGCGGATCCCACGTTTCTGATTCCTTCTCGCTGCTGCCTCCCAGGTCTTCTCATTCCCAGGCTCATCTCACCTCCCCACTGCCGGCCCGTGGGTCAGCAGGAGGAGGTGTCGGCTGCCGAGCCTGCCTGCCTTGGTCCTTGGCCCCGGATGGCCCTGCGGTGGCTCTCGTTGCTAGATGTGCATGACTAAGATTGTTGCTGGGCAAAATCTAGATTCTCTTTTCATTTAATCGTAGGCAATGTCTTTTCTGCCCTTGCTGTTCGCGCCAGCGTCAGCCCTTAGCTAAAAGACAGTTATGTTTGACTTCTGAGACCCAAGGCTAATTGTTTTTTTAAAAAAATTTTTAAGTGGCATATTTTTTTAAATTTGTCTGCATGTGGGATGCATCCTTCCATCGCCACAAATCGTTTGGCTCTTACGATATTGTTTGACTTCATTGCTGTGTGTGAATATCCCTCCACATGCTTCAGATACACATTCCTACGGTCTCTGCTTCCTACAGGGAGAACTAACTCATCACCCCCAGAAACAAGACATTTCGTGCACTCACCCACCTGGTCAGGGAGGGGCTTTACGGTTTCGGGAGAGACACCGAGGACACACAGCCGCAGGATAACCCGTGAGGCCCAGCCAAGGTCAGGAGGGGCGAGTCCGTGTCTCCCCACACGGGACCCTCGCCTGCCCCTGCCAGCTTCCCGTGGCCTCCTGTTGCCTCCGAGCGGGAGTCGAGGCCCAGAGGGTGGGGGTCGGGTGGCAGCTCTGTTGTGCAAGAAAAAGGTGACACCGGGCACCACCGTCTCAGCAATAACAAAGGTCGTTCTGCATTAGCAATTGTCCTGTAGATACGCCACTCGTGGGAACGTCACCGGTGTTTGTCTCGTGACCTTGTGCTTTCGAAGTCAGACAAAACCGTGTGATCAGCTTGCACAAAGGAGGGTACACAGTGAACACTGACACACAGACCTGACCCACCAGGGCGGCTTCCTCATGGTGCTTGTTTATTATATATATTTAACCCTGCTTGACACTTTACCCCGGGAAACCGTCCCTTTATCAGTTGAATGTTAGCAGCGTTATTTCATGGAGTGTGATGGCTGGTTAGAGAAGTTCATGTACTCAGCCAATCTCGGTTTCAAACGGAATTTTTATGTGCGAAGGACGGTGACCTTCTCGTATGTTAAACCACCAGTAAGCTTTGTACATCTGTGATAACGCCTGTTTTATATTCAAATGAACAAATAAAAGCTTTTATTTTTGTTGCTCTGAAAATAGCAGTTTCTTAATGGGTCCCCTGGAAAACTGCCCGGAGTTCCATGCAGGAAGGAAGTGACTCCTGCGGGAATGGGAACTGTATGACTCTGTTTACATGATGTGTTGCATTACTTCTTAGTACAGATAATCATACTTTGAACAATGTTTAAATTTTGATGTGGGCATTTATTGCTAAAAAAAAAATTCCTATGGCATACAAATGTTTTGTGAAATGTTTTTTAAAATTCTTTTAAATATATCTAAATATATTTGTTCACATTTTGCTGCAAGTGTACAGATTATTGGTTAATTTCTGGGATAAAGAGCATGAGTCCCGTGTGCAGACACTTCCATCAGCTGGACTGCAGGGGCCTCTGTGTGTCCGGAGGAAGGGCTGGCTGGCTAGTTCAACCCAATTATCTCTGTCCATTTGACAAGTGAAAGCCCTATCTCTTGCCCAAGATCTGAGAATTCTTATGGCTTTGTCTTCTGGAAAGCAGTAGTAGGTTAACTGACTTTCCATCTGCAGGTTATCAAAGGTAAGTTTTACACACATACAAATCAGCACAACTCAAATCTGCACACAGATCACAGGCTTAACCCCTCATATCAGAAATCCACTTGTCCCCCCAATCCACAGCCTTTGTTCAAACATTTATGTACTAAGTGGGGGTGATGTTCGGGCGTGTAGGAGTGAGGGGCTGGCAGACCATCCGGCTGCATTGAGTTACAGAGACTATCACAGTGTCTCAGGTGGCGGCCAAACAGTGTTGAGTCAAATACAGACAAGATGACCAAGAGAGGCCCTGCACAGCCCTTGCTGTGCGTGCGTGTGCGTGTGCGTGTGTGCGTGTGCGTGTGCGTGTGTGAGCACGTGCCTGGGTGGGTGTGAGAGTGCCCTTCGGTGGGGCCGTGCTCCGCACCCCCAGCTCGGTGCCGAGTTCTCGGGGCGCAGCCAGCAGCGGTGTGGTTGGCTGGCCGATGGTCATTCAGTGTCTTAGCCATCCTCCCAGTGTCTCCTCCCAGTGTCTCCTCATTTTGCTTTGTTCCCTCACCTTTACTCGTGTATTAACTGCCTCTTCACCCGTTAGGCCTCCTGCAGGAGAACAGGTGTGTTTTCCGAAAGCCGCCTACGGGCACCTGGCACGGGGCAGGCACTCGTGACACTTGCCGGACGGAGGGCCGCCTCATGGGTAAGTGGCACCGGGGCTCGCAGCCCCCGGAGAGGAGGAGGAGGAGGAGATAACGGATCAATGGTGGGAGTTTCTGGGATCGGGAAGAACAGGCTTTTCTTCATAATCCAGAGGGTGCCGGTGCTTCCCGGTAGTCACTGCCAGAGGTACTGATTCTAGTGGCTCATGCTGGGGCCCAGCTCTCCCTGCCATTTGACAAATGACTGGAAATGCTATCAAGAGGGTCAGGACTGACAGAGGGAGGAACTGGCGGTGACTGATGTGGTTAGTGATGGGAGCCCAGGACAGGACAGGGTGGAGGAATGTGAAGAGCCGTAGGGTAGAGGGCCACCCAGGCCCCGCTGCCCAGCTCATCCTCAGGAGGGCGCCGTGGGCACCAGCACTGCGAGGCCCCTGAGCAGCGAAGGAGCGTGTGAGGCGGTGGCCAAGGGCCAGTGCCCCCGCTCACCTTGCTGAGCCGCCATCGGTGAGTCCCTGACCCACGTCCGGGCTGCTTTTCCTCAGACCCCCACCTCCCCCCGCAGGGGCCGGTGAGCCCGCCCCCACCGTCATCAGACCCGCTCTCCTGCTGAGGCTCAGGCCGCGGTGGGGGTAGGTAGCCTCAGACGGTCCTAAAACAGAATCTGAAGTGCCGGCTGAGTGTAAAACAAATTTTTTTTTTTAAATATATATTTTGTTGATTTTTTTTTTTTACAGAGAGGAAGAGAGAGGGATAGAGAGTTAGAAACATTGATGAGAGAGAAACATTGATCAGCTGCCTCCCACACACCTACTGGGGATGTGCCCGCAACCAAGGAACATGCCCTTGACCAGAATCGAACCCGGGACCTTTCAGTCCGCAGGCCAACGCTCTATCCACTGAGCCAAACCGGTGAGGGCCAAACATGAATTCTGAGAACAAATGTCCTCAACGTCCAGAGCAGCTCCCAGCTGCTGAGGGTGTATGAGGGGCGACGTGAGGTCAGCCCAGCCTAGGCCGTCGCTTGCAGGTTCACAGACCGGAGCAGGAGCAGGTGCGCGCTGGGCCTGCAGGAGCGGGCGGGGACGCTCTGGTCCTCGGCAACCTCAATAATCACACCTCACGTGTCTGTTTAGACATCAAGTCGATGTCCA